GTTGCAAATGAAATTATCCCCTGGTTCTTTAATAATGGACTCCACAAGTTTGTGCAACACCTGATGTTATCCAGCATAATCATTACTGTAATTGCAATCCCAAAATTTAAATCAGGAATGATCTAATCACAAGAACAATTAATGATAGTTCTCTTACCGCTGCTTCCTTCATGTTGGACTCCCAGCAGCTCATCAAAGCAGTGTAAGGTACTACTCTGAGCAGCACTACCACCTGAAAACTCCATTGGCTTCTCCTGAACTTCCTCGTACACGAGACCTTCTGGCATTGATGGGTTATCTTTCCATCTAACACCCACATGCAGAAGAACATTTTATAGAGTCAAAATAACTCTGAAGAAAATTCAAAAAAGCAATTAAACCTACAGTATGACTTACCCAGACAGATAGATCCTCATAATGCCATAGAATATGGAGGGATCTACATATTCTGAAATGGTGAACATTTATTTGCCACTTGAATTATTAAAACCATTTGAATAGAAGTTGATTATTTTCACTTGAAAGTATTACCATGCATTAGTTTAAAGGCCTGTTTCATGCTGTCTATGGCCTGACTGACAAGATCCAGAGCTTTGGTGACCATAGCAACCTCATTATAATGGATGCCATTGATGACATCAAGGATAGACTGTGAAAAAAGAAACAGCTAGTATTACCACGGTACAGTAATGTAATCAGATGGTAATACCACACTGTAAAGTGATTTTCAAAGTAAATAAAACAAAATTTATTGGAGTTCAAGACAGTGCTATTTCAGTCTTTCTACTTCAAAATGTCATGTCTGATTCAATGTGTTACTTGCCATTTCTTTGTAATTTGTGAAATTTACTAGCAATTTCTAAATGATTGTTTCAAAGTTTTTTTTTTTTCAGTGCGTATTCACATTGCATGGTACACCAATTGGTAATGCAATAAATACTAGCATATGAAAACAAATTCTTGGCTATTATAGCTTCTGTGCTCTGAACTGTGGCATTTGTAAAGGTGTCAGACCTTCAGGCCAGGAACAGCTGCCAGCTCCACCAGCAGTGTCACCAGAAAAAAATCCTCTGACACTTTCCCCACCAGGCAATGTCAGCAACAACTCCAAGTTCCTTTCAGGAAGCAAGAACAGTCACCATGAATGACAGATCAATGCTTCAGAAGCACTAGCCACAACTTACATCAACATGTGGTTTACAATGTTGAGTTTATACTTGTTTAAAACTATTTAGATAATACTTTGTTTTAAAATAAAGCAAAAAGGTGACATTAGTAAGTACACATTAATCTTACACAGTTTAACTTGTTGAGTTATCTGCTTCCGTCAATGAAATTCAAAATGAATAATTCTATCAATTACATTTCTTAAAAAATGGATTATGGATGTTGCAACTGTTCAGAAACAATTAGAAATAACATGAAAAATAACCATTAAAATATTGTAACTATAATTAATTACATTTCAATTTTATTGATTTTAATTTATAATTAAAGGATATCATAAAAAAATATAAAAAATCATATTTTTGTGTAACTGGAATATAATTTGAGTCTGAAAGGGTTAAACAATAAAATCCCCATCTAGGCTTTGTAGTTCCTGTAAAGAAACTTAAAGGAAAGAAAGGCAGAAAGGAAAATGAAAGTAAAATTATATTGTTCAATTAAATTAATATATAATGAACTATTATATACTGTAACAACAGCACAAAACAGAAAAGAATGGTTATATTCTGAATGGAAATGCAAAATGTTATTGTGTTGCTTATTACTCTTTCTCTGTGTAGGTAAGACTCTTTCATGACTGTGTACTTAATATGAAAGATCATACATCATGAATTCGGAGGCGCAAAGAATGGGAAGAGATGAGTTCTGGCACATTTCTGGCAATGTCCATCCAGGGCTTGTAGTACACCGGAAGGTCTTTCTGAAACACAATGTAGATATGAGTCCATAACACAGTAACATGTAATGTAATATATATTCTTGATCATTTTTCATTACATTTACTGCTATGCAAATGTGCTTTCACGTAAGAAAATCCTACGCATTCTGTATATTCAGTTTACGTCAAATCATAAATCATATATCCATACATTTATGCTTTTTCTCAGCCAAAGAGTTAAATACAACCGAGTACACAGTCCACAGGTGTATCTTGAGGTGATTTAATAGTTTTACACCAATCATTGAAAGAGAAGCATGATCCCAGATACTAAATGTGAGTCGAAGTTAACAATTCACTACCTTTGAAGCTAAAAAATTAACTGTACTTGTCACAAAATTTACATTGAAATCCTACTAAATTGGTCTAGATAGTTTTCTAAGATCACCATCTGTCAGCTTTCTTGAATGTGCACTGCTGAAATGATGAAACTGCGTCTTTGGGGATCAAAGATTTGTATTGACCTATTTACCATTAAAGCAAATAGATAAAGGTCACTCAGAAAGCAAACAGTGTCGAAGTCTAATGCTTTCATATACAAACAATCAGTCTTACTGTGTCTGAATATACTGACTGTATATGAGTGCAAATTAATAGTTTAAAACATTCTCACCAGCACAGTAACTTGGACACTCTCAGTGTGTTACTAACAAGTAATGAAACAAACTGTAGCTTTACCTGAGAGCAATAAATTGCTTCTTTGTCATAAATTTGACTTTTCCTTACCAGTTGAATGAACAGGTAAGGAAAAGCCAAATGTATATTGTACATTACATTAAACTAATATTGTACTAATATTAGTTGTATTATATTATATTATATTAATAATATTGTACATTGCATAAAACACCAATATAATACATTCTTATTACATGTTTAAAAAACAAAAAAAATGTATTTAAAAAAAATTATGTGATGCAGCTAACACAATCTTATACAGTAAGTGTGATGACCTACCAGAGGCTCCGGAAGAATAAACCCATAATCCTCAGAGATGTGAAACTGCTTCAAGGACAATGGTGTCGCTGTATTTTTCAATTTAGTGTCCATAATTTTCAGTACAATACTAGCGACTGACTTTTCGTTTAGCAAGCATCGGGCATATGCAACTGTCAGCGTTCTAGAGCTAAAAGTGAAATGAACCTCATTTGTCAAGCAACAAAACTCTCCCTCTCTCTCTCTCTCTCTCTCTCTCTTTCTTTCTCTCTCTCTCTCTCTCTTTCTCTCTCTTTGTGTTTCTGTGCTACCGTTAGTAATAACCTTTCCTCACTTTCCCTATCAGAAATCATATGAGTATGCATGTGTAAAAACCACAGATGCACTACAGCAACAGTTGTCATAACCTGCAATACAAGGGTAATTCTGTAATTGCATTGTGCCATCTTAAGCTAAATAAAGACATTTTAATGTGTGATGGTATATAATTACACATTAAGCAAGGTAATAGGCTTGAGAGTTATATAGTTTAATTTGACTTTACAAGACTTGTGCTCAAGGTGCTCAATTGATATATTTTATCTTGTCTTGACAATTCCATTTTCATGCTGTGTCTCTGCCTAGTTTTGCCAGAGGAATCCTGGTTACCTGACTTCTCCTAGTTTGATCATCTACATTGTCCTGGTACTAATTCTGGCTCAGATCTCTGATCTAGTCGAAGTGGACTGTTTCCTGGTTTTGACCTCTGTCTGCCTCTGACCTAGAAAACGAGTCATCTTTTGGGTTTGATCAGACTGTCTCTCTGGCTTTGACCCTCGCCTGATCCTGACTCTTTTTCATTCCTCTACCCAGCCGGTTGGAGTTTGGCTTAGGACTCCACCAGTTTTTTTTATGTTTACCGACTGTTAATAACGTTTTTCTCTACTTTTGGATCCTCTCCCAAACAGATCTTGACATCACATTTTGGCCAGTATGGACCCAGAGGGATCCCTCATTTGTTTGGCGGTCGAGCTTCAAGGTGCCAGCTGGTGACAGCTGCTGACTGAGGTGCTGCTGTGTGGGGTCAGAAGCTTTGTATTGTGCTGATTTCCACGTTTGCATGATCATGAATATCAAGGTCTTTGACAGAACTGTCTTTGGCAATGAGGCTCCTCGTTTTTAGTGCCAATGATCTGGTTCTCTATGCCATTCGCCTGGACCATTGCATGGATTTGCGGCACAGAGTCCAAAGTCCTTCCATCAGGTTGTAAGCTGATTGCTCTGAGCTGCTCTTTGCTTTCTGAGTTATGGAAGTTCCAGCCAAGTCCAACCCCATACAGGTGGGCAGGTTGCACCTGACTATGGAGGACAATGAGCATCATCTTTCCAAGGGTTTGTGTCCAAGCTTCTCCCTGTCCAGTAAATCCCTCGCTCATCAGTAACCAGGGGAGTCCTGGTGAGTGCTTATTGACTCAGAAGCATAGGGGAATTTCATAGGTGCTAAGTGGGTGATCAAGAATAGTGTTCCCATTCAAGTCACCACCCATGCCCTTGATGTTTGTGAGCTGTGATCACATCACAGCTCCGGGGAGGTTCATTATCAGGCAACCACAGGGAGGATCTAGTGTTTTTCCTGTTTGACTACCTTGCATCATCCTGGATCGTCGCTGGCTGTCTCAGCATAATCTTTTTCATTAATTGGGCAGAGAAAACATCTTGCATGGAGTTCTTTTTTCATGCTGTCTTGTGTCTGCCCCCCACTGTAACCGATTTTTGTAATTTGAACAGTATTTTACTGTAATATGTACAGTAAGATACTGTAAAATGTGTATACAGTATTTTACTGTAAACAGCAAAGGATTATGGGAAAATATACGGTCACTACTGTATTTCCTCACTACTGTAAATCAATTTGCAGTAGTGAACTTGCCCGCGAAAACTGACCAATGGGCTAGGGAGTTCTTTTTTGACTGTTTGGTGGAAGTGGCTGTAAAAGGACAAAAGAAAAATGCACCGTTAACTCGACAAAAGGTTAGTATATTTTTTCTGTTTTATGCAAAACTGCGATATTTTAAGATGTTTTCACTTGTTAACAGCAAACTAACTTTATTCATCGTGTCATTTTTCATGTTGGGATTTGGAGCCTTTTTTTCTGACAGACGAAAAGGCCAAAAGGCTGATAACATCGACTGCTGAGTAAGTTAAGGTCACCTATATTGCTCGAAATAAACCTTAGTTAAACCGAGAAACACGTTTGTACGTTCTGCTGCCCTTTAATGCCAAGTTAGCTCCTCTGGCAGTCTTTATTTAACCTTAACAGCGAATTAACGTGAAATACTGAGGTAAAGTGCATCAGGCAAACCACTGTTTCAGTGGAGATTTTAAACAGTATTTTATAGTACCGCTTTTGTTTTTTATTTTCAGATTTCTAGTCTGGATGTAGTCGGCAACGTCGGAGGTGTATTTTGGATCCTCCTCTTGTGAATGCCATAGTATCGATGATAACATCAACTGGTAAGTTAATAATGTCAGTTAGCCGAAGTTAACTAACTTAGTTGAACAAAGAGAAGCATAGTAAGTTATCTTCTCTACTCTGCCTCTTTATCGCAAGTAAGGTAATTCTCTTCAAATGCTATTTAAGTCAGAAAGTGTGTACCAATGTCGTATGTAACTTTAGAGACGGTCCCTAAATTCAGTGACAGACGTAACGTTAACATAAAACAGCGAGCTAACAACCTACTGAGGAAAACTGAGTGAAGAAACACCAGTTAATAACATATTTTGTATGTTATTTTCAAGTTCGTGGTCATGTCATCTGCATCGGAGGTGGAGTCTTGTGATTGCCGTCGTAGTGGTGCTAACAACAGGTGAGCTTCCATCAGCTTAACTAACGTTAATGTTACTAAATTAGCCAAATTAGCCTCTAGCTGCTGTTCTCCACTAACTCACAGAACAGGTTGACTTTTTAAAGAGAGGAACATGCTAGCACATGTTGAATAAACATGAGCACTGCACGTTTCAAAATCAAAACCCGGTGCGGGTGTTTTTATATCACTGTATTTCTGAGGAAAACCGGCTGTCTTCAGTAAATTTTGGATGTCATTTTAATTTCTTCTTGCATGTAGTGTCTGATAAAGCAGCATTTGTGAGTGGAGCGCTGCTTTGTGTACAGGGTTACGGGGGAAACCTCGATCTCTATCACTCCAACAGCGCCTCCTGCTGGCAGAGAATGAGTTTGCATATATATGCCGCCACAAATAGAGTGCAAGTCTGTGGGAAACACTGTAATATTATTTATGCAATTTGTAAGTGCAAATTATAATTAATTATACTTGTCTCTTTAA